ATAGGATCCGAACCCGTGGCTTTGGTGTTATCAGCACCGCACTCTACCGAGTGAGCCACAGGCTGGCCTGAGAATGATTTAACTTAAAGGACTAGGGGCACTATCTGTGGGCCTGGGTATACTAGGGGATTAGAGGAAAAGTGAAGCTGGGAAATGGGAGATAATACTCGGTGGGTCAAGGGGGAAAATGGGAGGAGTAAGAGAAGTGAAGACATAGATGGGGCTCAACACAGTAAAGAGAAAAGGTTACTTGGACCCTGATTACAGAATGGCCCAGTAGGGTTTTGAATTGAGGTCTAATAGTATTTAAAGGAGCAACTGCTAGAATAGATTTGGGGAAATATTTGCAGGTATAAGAGAATGATGAGTGAGCTACAGAAATATTTAGGAGCCCATCCTTGGGTAAATATGGGGGGGTATGAAAAATGCTTTGGTACCTGAAAGATACTGAGTGGATGCTATTTGGAGGAGGACTAGTAGGAGACGATGATGGTGGGGAATGTTTGGAGATGTGGAGAGATATGTTAGAGCTCAAGATCAGGAAATATTGGGTGTTGAGGTTTTGGAAGACTCTTTGGGGGAGTCCAGTGTGAAATGTGAGGGGACATGTAAACATTTGGAGTCTCAAGGCTCTGGCTTGACTTCTGAATTACCACCTGCTTCCTCTCCCTCTGCGCATGCCCAGGTTCCGGAATGAGGACTACACAGTATATGTGAGGCTCAATGACTACTTGGACATCATCTGTCCACATTACGAGGACGACTCTGTAGCAGAAACTGCCATGGAGCAGTACACACTGTACCTGGTGGAGCATGAGGAGTACCAGCTGTGCCAGCCCCAGTCTAAGGACCAAGTCCGCTGGCAGTGCAACCAGCCCAGTGCCAAGCATGGCCCAGAGAAGCTGTCTGAGAAGTTCCAGCGCTTCACACCTTTCACCCTAGGCAAGGAGTTCAAAGAAGGACACAGCTACTACTACATCTGTGAGTACCTGGGAGGCATGTACACAGTTGGACATACTGGGGGGCACAGCAGCATGATGCGTATGCTTGGGTACATGCTTAGTGCTGAGTCAAGCAGCAGAGGGCCCTTTCCAATCCTGAATTCTATTTTCATTCATTCATATCACAATTGTGGAGTGTGCTTCTACTGTGTATAGGGCACTCTGCTTGGCACTGTGGGCACAGAGATAAATAAAACACTAGAGTCCCCATCCTCAAGGAAACTAGGAAGGAACACACATAGGTTTCTTTTTTCTTTTTTTCTCTCCTAAGTTAAGGTTTACGTCTCCAAGGGACTAGTTCCCTGACCATGAATCAAACCCAGGGTTGTAGTGATGAAAGTGTGGAATTCTTAATCACTAGACTACAGAGTGGATCACTACACATAGGTTAACAGACCAAACAGTGTGGTGTGGTAGACATGATCACAGGGGCCTTGGGAAAGTGACCTGGGCAACTGCCAGGTGAAGAGGATTCAGAGAAGGATTAGAAGGGAAGATGACCCCAGAGCTTAGGATAGGCAGAGGAGTTGACTAGGCATAAAGGTACATGCGCAAAGGGGGCATGATGTCTTCAGGGGGACTCCTTATGGTTCAGCCTGGCTGGAGTGGGAGGACCATAGGAAGCAGAGCAAGATGAGTGTGGGAAGGTGGACGGGACTGATCAGGGAGTGCCTAAAAAATGCTAAGGAGCCAAATTGGACTTTATCCTGTTGGCAAGAGAGAGCCACTGGTGGATTTTTAAAGTTATAAGATCAGCTATGTGTAGGATGGTTGCAGGACTCACCCTGTCAGTGGGGCCTAGGCATGGGGTAGTATAAAATGGTCTAGGTAAAGGGAATCTATTGTAAAAGCCTCACCCAGTTTCAGGCTTGGAGGAATGAAGGATGGAACATAGGGAGCGGACAGGGTCTATGTTCTTTTCACCACTGCCAAAGCTGAAGTTTATTCCAAAGAATGCAGGTTGAGCCGAACATTGGGCAGGAAGTGGGCAAAAGCTAAGGAAGATTAAAAATCAATATTAGGGCCGGCCCGGTGGCGCACTGCTATAGTGCGCCGCTTGGGAAGCGCGGCAGCGCTCCCGCCCAGGGTTCGGATCCCACATACAGACCGGTTCCCACTCACTGGCTGAGCGAGGTGCGGGCGCAGCACCGAGGGTTGCGATCCCATTGCCGGTCCCGGTCCGGTACGGGGGCGACACTGAGGGTTGCGATCCGTTGCCGGACACGGAAAAAGACAAAAAAAAAAATCAATATTAGGGCCGGCCCGGTGGCGCACTGCTATAGTGCGCCGCTTGGGAAGCGCGGCAGCGCTCCCGCCCAGGGTTCGGATCCCACATACAGACCGGTTCCCACTCACTGGCTGAGCGAGGTGCGGGCGCAGCACCGAGGGTTGCGATCCCATTGCCGGTCCCGGTCCGGTACGGGCGCGACACTGAGGGTTGCGATCCGTTGCCGGACATGAAAAAAGACAAAAAAAATAAATAAATAAATAAATAAATAAATAAAAATCAATATTAGAGTGAAGAGAGGAATTAAAAGGAGGAGGGAGCCGAGAAAGTAGGGCCAGTGGCATTTGAGCTTATATTTTCTTCCAATCAGGCTTTTTTCTTTAACACCCTATGGGTTGATCTTGCAGCCAAACCCATCCACCACCAAGAAGACCGTTGCTTGAAGTTGAAGGTGACCGTTAACGGCAAAATCAGTGAGTTTCAGGGCCCTGTGGGCCTCCTTCCTCCATCTCTATGCTGGGACTGGTCTAGTGATCTAGGATGGCAGGGAAGTCTCACTGCCTAGTCCACGTAACATTTGCACCCCTCTACCTTCCTGGTGTAATACCTGACCTACTACTCTTGTCTTTTAGCTCACAGTCCCCAGGCCCATGCTAATGCACAGGAGAAGAGACTTCCAGCAGGTAAGTAGTTGGAGCAAATTGGGTCTGGGGCATAGGAAAAGGTCTGCTTGAGGAGGTTAGGTACAAGAGGTGGCTCCAAGTAGGGGCTAGGGAAACCCTGTTGGGCCTAGGGCCAGTGCAAATAGTGGGGCCACTCATTGGGGTTTTTTGTCCTCTCACCTTGCAGACGACCCGGAGGTGCAGGTTCTACATAGCATTGGTCACAGTGCTGCTCCCCGCCTCTTCCCACTTGCCTGGGTGGTGCTGCTCCTGCCACTTCTGCTGCTACAAACCCAGTGAAGGTGTATGCCACACCTGGCTTAAGGATTGGAATTGGGCTGAGGGGGCAGGGGCAGGCACCCCTCACCTGTCCTGGGGCCGCTCCCAAAGCCCCAGCCCTGGGAACCACTCCCACCACATGCACAAGCTGCCACCCAGCAGCCTCAAAACGGGTCAGTATTAAGGGTTTCAACCCAAAGGAGGTCGACCAGCCTGCCAGTGCCATCCCCGCCTCCACCTCAGAGGGACGGAGAAAGAAGTGGAGACAGTCTTTTCCCTGTCATTCCTGCCTTTATGCCAAAGAAACAAGCTGTGCAGACATGACACCTTGAGGGTGCAGTGAGAGCTGAGCTGAAAGGGGCTTGGGGCCATGCACTGGACACAGCTTGGCAAAGGTGCCCCTCCCAGAGACAGCCAGGATGCCCAGATGAACTGACTGAAGGAAAATCAAGAGACAGTTTCCTGCATGGGAGCCAGGTACAGGAGAGGCAACATGCTTGGGCTGACCCAGCATCTCCCAGCAAGAGGTTTGTAGCCAGGCACAGCATCTTCTCTCCATCCTGGGGCAGCACTCACCAGAGCTGTGCCAGTGGTGGAGGTGGCAGGTTGCTGTGCCAACCTGTTCTTATAGTATAGCTGTAAGGGCAGTGTTAATGTGTACAGAGTCTGCCTAGAGTGTAGCCTAAAGGGCAAGGACCACTTACTTGTACATTATCTGTATATAAACTTGAGTGTCTGTGCTGACTTCTACAACTGGAATTTTTTTTATACAATGCTCTTTGTCTCAAAATAAAGCAGTGTGTTTTTGTTTTGTTTTTGGACATGTTTTCCTGCCACTCCATAGTAACTTATGACCATTGAGTCCCTGCTATGTGCTAGGCCCCGTGCTACACCATTAGCAACTGGGTTTGAACTTCTTTCTCTCTGCAAAGAATACATGCCCCTCACCAGGGAAAAAGGGTGGGGTGTTTCCTCCTCTGAGGGTGTTCCAGGACAGGGGTGCTCCCCACAAGCAGTGCCTCGGGTTCTGTGCTGCACCCCACTCTGGATGTTTTTCCTGTCCAACCTTTACACTACTCCCACCCCCTCAGCACTGGGCTTTGGCATTCTGTTCAGGTACTCATGCTGTTTGAGTGAGTCAGGGAAGCCGGGAATGCCAGCTGAAGCATGCGCCCCGCCCCACGGCCCCACCAGCTGAGATGCGTGGGAGGCTGGGAGGGAAAGTTCCCAGCAGCAAGTAGGTCGGCTAGGGGGTCAGTGATAGGGGCTTAAGTGGATTGGCCAAGTCATGGAAAGCTTGCCACATAGCTCAAGAGGGAGGGCATCTGATGAAAACTTGGTAATTCCTGGCAATCCTTGCTATTTAGGGGAGAGGCTGGAAAGAGGCTTCAGCAAACTCCGGGGAAAACCTCCCAAATCCTGGGCAACTGAGGTTCTGATTTGGACCTCTGGATAGAAGGCATGTTGAAGTCTGGTTGGGTCTATCAAGCTTTTGTTTTGAGGTCTACCGCGTAGGCCTATGGGGACACAAGAGCTGGCGCTGGAGGTCTAGATGATCCAAGGCGTAAGCAGTGTGAGGAGGGGCAGGTGTCGAGGGCAGATCCGCGGAACCCTAGTTATGGGACTGACCAAGAGGGCTGGGAGTCCGCGGCGGGGGGCCCGGCCAGACGCTCAGAGGGGGGCGGAGTTCCGGTTAAGCGTTCTAGGGGAGGGCCGGGTTCCGGTTCAGTTTCCGGAGGGACTGCCCAAGCGCGCGGGGGCGGGGGCGGGGCGCTCGGGGCTGGGCACCGGCGTCGCTGGCCCGGGCCTGAGCCTGCGGGCGCCGGGGGCGAGATGGAGGCGAGCGGCGTGTTCGACTCGCTCCTTTCCGGAGCTTGCGTGGTCTTCACCCTCGGCATGTTCTCCACCGGCCTGTGAGAGCGCGGCCGGGATGGGCTGGGGCAGGACCAGGAAATCAGGAGAGGGGAGAGAGACGTGGCCGCAGCCCCAAGCTGCGTCCGGAACCAGGGGTCAACGTGGGATCCAAGGGGACTGGGGTACAAGGACGAGGCTGGTCACTCGGCCTGAGGAAGAAGGCAGGGAAGCTGGGCGGGGGAGGGTGCCCTTGTCCGGGTAGGATGACAGTTATTGGGGATCCCCCTAAAACCCTGACTCTCTTTTTCCACCCTTCACCCGTCCCTATTATAGCTCGGATCTCAGGCGCATGCGGATGACCCGGAGCGTGGACAGCATCCAGTTCCTGCCCTTTCTCACCACGGATGTCAAGTTAGAGGGGCAATGGCAGCAGCAGGAAAAGATGTCTGCGGGAGGTGGGGGAGGGGTAGGCGAACGTGGAAGAGGTCTCTTGGGTCTCCCTCCCACACTCATCCCTACGGGCCATATCCCTCCCCTGCACCCTGCAGCAACCTGGGCTGGCTGAGTTATGGGGCCTTGAAGGGAGACTGGACCCTCATCGTCGTCAACGCAGTGGGTGCTGTGCTTCAGACCTTGTACATCTTGGTGTATTTGCACTACTGCCCTCGGAAGGTAGAGGCCCTCCCTTGGACTCACCTTTCTGCTGCAGCAAGACAGGGCAAACACTACTTCCTAGTAGGCTGGCACTGCCACCTTTTCCTGGAAGGCCCTTCCAGCCTTGCAACTCTTCCTTCCTGAAGCTAGCCTTCTGAGACTTAACACATTGCCTCCATTCTGGCAAGGCTGGTACCTCTACCTAGCCTGATGATGGCAGTGCCACCCTGAGCTTCTGCCCAACAAGCTGAGGGGAAAGGGTTTTTGTCTCTGATAGTTCCTTCAAAGCCAGGGCTGGTAGCTGAGAATAAAATGATTAGCTCTGCTTCCCCACTCAATCATACAAGCATCGACTAAGCTCCTACTGTGTGTGTCAAGCTCACAGAAAAAAGATACCTTTCCCTCCCTTAGAGGCCTCCAGTGTTGTGGGTGGATAAGACTTCCCATCAAGGCACTGGTGGGAAAGAGGCTCTGACAAGTGCAATACTGGAGGCTTAGACAAAGGTTGGCTTTCCCATTGGAGCAAGGGAGAGGGCAGGATGAATTAAATCCAGCAGGGAGGTCACAGAGTGCTCCTGGCACACCTGGAAGTAAGGCTATTCTCTCCCCTGCAGCGTGCTGTTCTCCTACAGACTGCAACCCTACTGGGGGTCCTTCTCCTGGGTTATAGCTACTTTTGGCTCCTGGTGCCCGACCTGAGGGCCCGGCTGCAGCAGCTGGGCCTCCTCTGCAGTGTCTTCACCATCAGCATGTACCTCTCACCACTGGCTGATTTGGTGAGTGGGGGTGTCCAGGGAGGTAGGGGAGATAATACGGGCCAGGTTCCCATAGCCAGATACTGTGGCTTACACTCCAGAGGGAGAGAAGATCCAAATCCTGGAAAGAGACAAAGCAGTAGAGCTGGGTGAGTGGGAGGCAGGAGAGATGAGTTGGGTGACAGATCTGGGAGGATGTTTGACGTTTTTCCTGGGGAAATTCTTAGGCAAGGTTGGATCTTTACTATATGCTTGGGCCAGGAGTGTCTTTCGTCTCTTCCCACAGGCCAAGGTCATTCAGACTAAATCAACTCAATGCCTCTCCTTCTCACTCACCATTGCCACTCTTCTTACTTCTGCCTCCTGGTTCTTCTATGGGTTTCAACTCAGTGATCCCTACATCATGGTAAGCAGAATAAGGATGGAGTGACAGATTTGTAAGGCGGGAAACCAGCTCCTCTCCTCATAGCAGTCCCTGCCCTTTCAGGTGCCCAACTTTCCAGGAATCCTCACCAGCTTTATTCGCCTCTGGCTTTTCTGGAAGTACCCCCAGGAGCAAGACAGGAACTATCGGCTCCTGCAAACCTGAGGCAGCTCATCTCACCAATGGGCGCCTTAATGCCAACGTGATACCAAAGAGAGCTCTTTGTTTCAGCTGGTTCTGATGACCAGCTCCACAGATGCAATGGGTTATGGGAAAAAGAAGCAACTTTGAGAATAGAAGGACCAAAGAAAGCTTTACAGGGCACTTCAAAAAATTCGTGGAGAAATAGAATTAAAAGATAATATGAATATTTCTATGAACTTTTTGAAGTACCTTTGCACTTAGAAGATCAGGTGGGAGCTAGGAGATGAAATCACTTATTTTTTAGAGAGATTACTTTTTTTAATTTTGGAGGTTGGAGTGATATCTTTAGAATGTGCCTTAAAATAAACTGTTCCCTACCCCTGCCCATCATGGTTCATTCTCTATTCATGATTCTCAACCTGGCTGGTTTGGTGAAGGGCTGATCCACAGTTATTCTCAGGCCAGTAGGGTTGGCTCCGAAAAGGTAGCTGAAAAAATCAAGAAGTTGGAAAAAGCCAGGAAGGACTTAAAAAGTACAGAGCTTACATGTTATGAAGAGTGAAGTTAGGCTTCAAGAAGTACTTCCTGACAGGGTTAAAAGGACCAGGAAAATGAAATATTTCCATCCAGAGAAATAGTGAGGAGTATTTGCCTTCTTTGGAGCAAAACTGGGAAATAACAGCAAGATATAAATAAGGCTGAGATGGCCTCAGGAATGTGGCTCTTCCACCTCTCACTTCTCGACCGCTGGTACACAGAATCCCCAATCCCATTCTCCCGTACTCAAAGTTAGAAAATAAACTTGCTCTTTAATGAGGAAGGGAAGGGAGGGCTGCCCGGGCGGGAATGGGGTTAGGGAGTCAGAAGCGCAGTCCCCTGAGGGCTAAGTCGGCTCTAGCCTCCTGGATCTGGCTCTGCAGCTCGCGGGCGGCGTCCTCGCAGTCGTGAAAAGTGGCCACGCGATAGCCCACAGTGCCCAGAGCATAGCAGCCGGCGGACACCAGCAAATAGGCGGGCAGTGGCCACAGGACCTCCCGGCAGGACGAGGGCAGCTCCAAGCCCAGGGCTCCCATGGTCAGCGCCGCCCAGGTGGAGCCCAGGAGCGCCAGTCCCCAAAGCCACTGCGCTAATTTCGTCATGGTCACTGCTGGAAGAGAAAACAAAGATCGGGGTCCCTTCCACTCGGCTACCCCCTCTACACCTGATTCCAATTTCTGGTCGCTCTCACCCTCCTCGGCCTCTCCCTTCATCCCTCAACTTACCCTTACCTCTGGTCCCCGCGTCCTCCTCTTCCCCGAGTGGACCGGACGTCGGCGTCCGGAAGTCGTTCACAAGCCAGGCTCCGCCTCCGCGCCGCCTTCTGGGAGTTGTAGTTCTCATGGCGGCAGCAGGAGGACTCGCGGTAGCGGTCTAGATCCAGGCGCTTGTTCAGTGGGCTCGGCTCTGCCTACAGCGGGCTGGACCTGGAGAGGCCGCGACGCTGCTTGCCTCCCTTGGGGCCCCGCTGCAAGCTGGCATGGGGCTGGTAAAAAGCCTGAGTACACCCTTAAACGTTGCAAAAAGGTGGGAATGTAATGTCGTTCCCCTTAGATTCAGTTCTCCAGCACAGAAACCCCATTCATTCATTCACTTATTCATCCGTTCATTTGAACATTCCTTGAGCACCGTGATAGACTTTGGGGATACAGAAATGCCAAGGTTTAAATGAAAAGAAGAATAGCAAAAAAAAGAAAAGAAAAGAAAAGAAAATGCTAAGAGACTCGGCACCTCCTGGGGTAGAAGGGGAAAGCAGATGCATTGACAGCTAAGCGTGATGCCTTGAGATAAGTGTAAGAATAGTAGTTGTCGTTTTTCTTTAAAGAAATGCAGAGGAACAACCAATACAGCTTGGAGCCAGAGGAAGAAAGGCTCCAGAGGTGTGTCCTTTAAAAAAAAAAAAAAAGTGCAAGACCAGAGGAATTACATCATGTGAGAAGGTGTATATTTCTTTCAGAGAGTTTTGGGGATGAATTCATGATTGATACATAGAAAACCAAGTAAAAGAAAATGTTAGGCAATTATCAACTTCAGGGGAAACAGTTATAAAAGAAAGGAAAATTGCTAAAAGTCTGTCTGATAAAGACTACTTGGGAGGGCTGGCCGGTTAGTTCACTTGGGACAGCATGGTGCTGATAACACCAAGGTCGAGGGCTGTGGATCCCCATACCAGTCAGCTGCCAAAAGAAAAAAGACCACTCAGAACTCACCTGTAGTTGAGTTAGGTCTATCAACTTGCGGCAAGACAGCTCACACCAGAACTGTGAGGTGACTCATCAAAGAGAGAAACAGGGTCTTTAGAAGATATGGGAAAGGGTTGATTTTAAATAAAATTTAAATAAAGCAGTGTTTTAGAGGTTCAAGATAAGCATGATGTAAGTGAAGGGATCACACAAGAAATTTGGTCTGAGAAGTGGACTGAGGGCCACTTGGAAACTACAAAATTAAGATCGACATAGAACATAATGTCCAAAAACCCGTTATCTGAAGCTTTGCACCTGGGTTGGAAATCAAGGCTACTTCTCTGTGTCAAAGTAATCCACATGGCTCAGACCTCCAGGCAAGAGTGAAATGTTCCATTCTCACTGAGTGATTTCAAATAGCAAAGTTTGTGACTGTCTATGATTTTAGAGAACAAAATTTCTCAGCCGTTATGTCCTTGATGTTAATTAACAAAAGCAATTTTTACTGATCTGCAATCTTAGCACAAACATTACATGGCTCAGCTGTGAAGAATATTTTCACAGCCATAATAATGTAAACACTGAGTATTGATTTAACTAAAAATAGAGATATACAGAGGGCCAGCCCGTGGCTCACTCGGGAGAATGTGGTGCTGATAACACCAAGGCCACAGGTTCAGATCCCTATATAGGG